TACAGCTCATGAAAACCCCAAATCCACAACCTCAAAAAAGTCGATTATTACACTTCTGTAGGTTTTTTAGGTAAGAAGGCAAAAGGGGAATAGGGAGAGCTCGGAACATATATAAGATATGAGGAAGAACAAACATTTTAATAAGATTAATCCTTCCTGCCCAAGATGTATTAGGTCTGTTCAACTCCGTACAAAGTCTTGATATTTTAAGCAGGAGTGGAGCATAGTTATAAGTAAAAGAGGTTGGAGCTAGGGGTTACTAGAGTGATGCCTAAGTATGGGAGGGCGTGAGATTGAGCCCAGGAGAATGGGGAGGTAGCGCTTATAATGGATTTAGTAGTAGCCGGAATACTAATGGCCAGCATGTGGGATTTAGAGTGATTGGTTTTATAGAAGGAAACTCTGCTGAATTTTGTGAGAATGTCTTGAACCGCTGGTAGTGAGGTCAGGGGATCAGCCATAGAGATTATTACATCATCTGCATATAACCCTATGTTGTGTGTTTGCTGGCCAGTAGATACTGTGCCTTTGGACTTATTTTTATCCTTGGACATCGCGGTAGCCATTCCGAAGCTGATCGGTAATATACCTGCAGGTGAACGATCCTGTAGATGGGGTAAGTCGCTGTTTTTATTAGATCCGGCGGCGCTGCTCACAGATCAAGCGGCCAGACCACGCCCCCGTCCAATCTTTTTCATTGCAGCTTAAACAAAAAATATTTTTTTTTTAGGTAGCTTTAGCAGCAATATGTGATTTTTCATTAAAGGAGAACTATGAGGGGGGGGGGGCTTGACAGTCATCCTCATAGTTCGGGGCGACGTGTGACAATGAGACTGTCACAGGTCGGCTCAGTAGATCGGGAGGTGAGCGAACACATACCGGCGTTCGCTCACCTCTCGATCCTGTCACCGCTCTCTGCCGTGACAGGGGGAGGGGCTGGATTCCCCCCTCCCTGCTCCGATCCGCCAGCGCTGGAGGATCGGACGGGGGAGGGGGCGGGTACAGCCTCTAGATAGGAGGAGCCGGCTGTCACTCACGCAGCTGGGCGGATCCCGTCATCTACGTCGGGATCCGCTCCGGCTGCGGCGTCTCAGTATACCGCGAGTTGTAGCTCCCTATATACTGAGCCTAGGGTGACGGGAGGACGCTAGTTTGTGTCCTCCCGTTACCCTAAGGAGAACTATGGGGGAAAAGCCCTGACCTCGGAGTTCTCCTTTAAATATAGTAATAGACACACTGTGACCGGCAGCTAGAAACTGACCGGCAGCTCCCTGCGGCTTTCCCTGTCGCTGATGCAAATGTGATCCTGCTGATCGATCTCTTAATAAGAAGTGAGGACACGGCAATGTGCAATTGGTCAGCGGCAAGAGAACTGTAATCAGGGATAATAGGCCTAACTGGTGTATGCCTAACTTTTATTTTCTCTATGATGATGGGGGCGTTCGGGGGGGAATAGGAGGGGTTTTAGGTGCACGCTGTTCTTGCACTTCGTTTTTTTTTCTTCTTTTCAAATGATGCAGCAGACTGGCTCCAAGAACAGATGGTCAGTAATAAGTAAATGCTGAACTTTCAGCACCTCAGAGTTAAAAAAAAAAGTCATACCAGTATAATAATTTTTTATTTTTTTTTAAACCCTCAAAATATATGAAAACCCAAAAATACTCCACACTAAAAACTGAAGGGCATCCTTGCAACAATAAAAAAATAAAACCTTTGGTAGGGGTGGCACAGGAGCTCAAACTGCCCGCTGACCTCAGATCAAACACAACAAAAAATGAAAGACAAAAAAAATCCCCAATAATAAGAAACAAAAAGACAGCAAAGATATTAATTGCTCAATGAGCTGGTAGTCAGAGTACCCCGAGTACCATTACCTAACCTCTCCCTATGCAGTTTGCCAGCTTTCCCTATGGCATCCTTCTATACATGAACACTATGGCTGCTCTGCACCCCCCCCCCTTTTATAATGAGGGGGTTGGGTTATCCAAAAGCCCCAATACTGGTCCTTCTAAGCTTGCTGGTCAAAGTTTAATGCATGGTGCCACGCAATGAAATAGGATTTCAGAGGGTTCTCCTAGGTGAATGTGAACCCAAATCTTGAAGCGGCAGGATTTGCCTCGATCCAACGCCAGCAGTGAACCCCTAAACCCTAAGAAGTTGAAGTTAAGAATTAGGATTTGGGGATGAGGTTGGGGTATTGTATGAGGTTTTGGGGTCAGTTCCCTTAGGGTTAGGGTTAGGGCCCATCTCTCATTGTTTCCTCTTTGGGTGAAATCTTCTAGTAAAGCGATATGAATCATTGAATAGATTTGTAAATCCCATCCTGATCCTCTTCTTCTATCGCATGGGCAGCGACAGCGCTCAGAATCATGATGACCGATGATGAAATATTCTCTGGAAGGGAAAGCAGTGTCAGAGGAGAGGGAGGGGGGTGAGGAGAGCTCTGTGCATGTGAAGAGCACAGGAGAGACATCTGCGATCGGAGGACACAAAAATTCTACAATATCTCCGAGGACTCCACACCATTGCAGCCCACTAACCGCAAACCAAAGGTGAGGGAGAGAACTCGTCTGTCCATTTAGCCACAGACTTTGCAATCTGATTGTACAATTTCAGGGCAATATCTTTTAGATTTACCACATAGCGCGCGCGCACACACACACACACACACACACACACACACACACACACACGTTTAATATATTGCAGTTTACCAGTCCTTAGATGTGGTGGCTGCATTAGTTTTTCTTTTTAAGGCTTTTTTCCCTTTACTTGCACCTGGTGATCCTGCCAGTTCCTGTCCTATAGTGACAACACTTACTCACTGTACTGTATCTATCGAGGAGCAACGTTGTCACTCTAGGATAGGGCTACAAAACAGTATTACTAAACCCTCATCTGCCACTGATAAACTTGCCCATTAGCTGTGCATTGTGGTATAGGAGGGTACAACATGCATTTTACTGCCTACTACTTTCATGCAATGTAACACACAATGTTTAGGGTTGTGCCAGATCTTCCAAATGGATAAATAGTTTGGGCTTGCTGTGGATTCTGATTTCACAGAATGTTCTTTGTGGCTGCTCAAGCCATAGAAGGCTTTCTATAGCTTGAGCATGGCTTTATGATTGGTGAGGTGCGTATATTCACATATATTTTAACCAGTTGGAGACACTGAGCATAGTACACACGTCCCAAAAAATTTATTAAAGTCGACAGGACATGCGTAGTATGCCCTGTCCTTCTGCCCTTCCGTCACCTCACCTTTCTGGGCAATTCCTGAAAGTATCTGTGTACATGAAGAGCTGTAATTTTAGGGCTGCTATCAAAAATTAGACATCTGACACAGTGTATATAAACATTGATCAGAGGAGGAGATAGAGAGATACAAAGTAACATTGTTTATAAACATTGATCAGAGGGAGATAGAGAGATACAAAGTAACATTGTTTATAAACATTGATCAGAGGGAGATAGAGAGATACAAAGTAACATTGTTTATAAACATTGATCAGAGGGAGATAGAGAGATACAAAGTAACATTGTTTATAAACATTGATCAGAGGGAGATAGAGAGATACAAAGTAACATTGTTTATAAACATTGATCAGAGGGAGATAGAGAGATACAAAGTAACATTGTTTATAAACATTGATCAGAGGGAGATAGAGAGATACAAAGTAACATTGTTTATAAACATTGATCAGAGGGAGATAGAGAGATACAAAGTAACATTGTTTATAAACATTGATCAGAGGGAGATAGAGAGATACAAAGTAACATTGTTTATAAACATTGATCAGAGGGAGATAGAGAGATACAAAGTAACATTGTTTATAAACATTGATCAGAGGGAGATAGAGAGATACAAAGTAACATTGTTTATAAACATTGATCAGAGGGAGATAGAGAGATACAAAGTAACATTGTTTATAAACATTGATCAGAGGGAGATAGAGAGATACAAAGTAACATTGTTTATAAACATTGATCAGAGGGAGATAGAGAGATACAAAGTAACATTGTTTATAAACATTGATCAGAGGGAGATAGAGAGATACAAAGTAACATTGTTTATAAACATTGATCAGAGGGAGATAGAGAGATACAAAGTAACATTGTTTATAAACATTGATCAGAGGGAGATAGAGAGATACAAAGTAACATTGTTTATAAACATTGATCAGAGGGAGATAGAGAGATACAAAGTAACATTGTTTATAAACATTGATCAGAGGGAGATAGAGAGATACAAAGTAACATTGTTTATAAACATTGATCAGAGGGAGATAGAGAGATACAAAGTAACATTGTTTATAAACATTGATCAGAGGGAGATAGAGAGATACAAAGTAACATTGTTTATAAACATTGATCAGAGGGAGATAGAGAGATACAAAGTAACATTGTTTATAAACATTGATCAGAGGGAGATAGAGAGATACAAAATAACATTGTTACTTATTTTTATCTTGTCTGTTTCATTTTCCTGCAGATTGTGTGAGGTAAAGTAACATGACAAGTATAAATATATCTTTTTTTGTCTCATAAAATGTGTTCCTATGTAACCCCTATGAACCCTTAGTTACCCTAATCAATTCTAAATCTTCATCACAATTCTCTCTCGTGTCCTTACCAGGTGCCATTATGAGCGGGTGGATCACCCAACAGTCCTCCGCCCTGATTTGCTTCCTGTCATCTCTCTGTACTGGACTCCTCTTTATCGTCATCATCCTCCTGGTCACCTTCACACGTGAGTCCACACTCTCTGCCTCTCCACACACACACACACACACCAATCACATTCTTTCCATATTGTAAGAACTGCAAATCAGCTCCCATTCTGAATTGCAGTGCATGGTGTTCAATAAACCTTTGGGAGAGGGGAACAACAAAGCACAATCACTGAGCAAGAAACACCACTTGCATATGTATTGACAAAATATGTCTATCTCCTGTGTATCTTACTTGGTGTGGATTCCATCACCAATGTGGGTGGTCATATAAAGGGACAGGTGCAATGACAACCGACAGAAGGTAGATAGTAAAGAAGGAGTTTTTAATGCCACACTTTATGCAACGGGTTGGATATGTGTGAATAAGGTGAGCTAATGCCCTTGTTATCTGTGTCACATGTGTGGTGACATGGATGGGCCTTTGCACGGTTCCTGCATGTTCTCTGACCTGTGGAGGAGCTTTCCTTTTACTGGTAATATGGAGGAGGAAAATCTCTGCAGTGCAAGGATCTTCCTCCTTCTACTTTCACCTCTATCATTACCCCTCCAGTCATCAGATCAACGGTCAACCATTTCTCCTGGCTGGAGGGTAAGCTGTACCTGAGGGCCTGCAGTGCAAGAATCTCCCTGCTTCTGGTTCATCCAGTCTGTGGACACAGTGCAGAACAAGATGTGATAAGCCAGTAATGGGGAAAAGATCAGCTGCAGGGAGATCACAGACAATACTGGTGACTATTAGTATTATTATACAGGATTTATAGAGCGCCAACAGTTTGCTCAGCTCTTTACAATATAAGGAAGACATTACAATCACAATACAATTCAAGACAAGATGGTGAGGAGGGCCCCGCCCCTGGGGGCTTACAATCTAAAAGGGAGGGGCCAGTGATGCATGGGGAGGGAGCTGTGTGGGGGTGAATTGTTTGAGAATGTGATGGTTGAGCGGTTAGGTTGAGGTGGGATCGGCTTCCCGGAAGAGATGAGTCTTAAGGGATCACCTAAAGACAGTCAGTGTGGGAGATAGACGGAAAGGTTGTGGTACAGAGTTCCAGAGGATGGGAGAGACTCTAGAGAAGTCCTGGAGGCGAGCATGGGAGGAGTTGACGAGGGAGCTGGAAAGCAGGAGGTCATTTGAAGAGCGGAGGAGACGGTTCGAGTGATACTTTGAGACGAGGTTGGATATATAGCCGGGGGCGGAGTTGTGGACGGCTTTGTAAGTCATTGTTAATATTTTTAATTCTAACCTTTGGGCTATTGGAAGCCAGTGGAGGGATCGGCAGAGGGGGGTGGGGGATGGAAGCCAGTGGAGGGATTGGCAGAGAGGGCGGGAGATGGAAGCCAGTGGAGGGATTGGCAGAGAGGGCGGGAGATGGAAGCCAGTGGAGGGATTGGCAGAGAGGGCGGGAGATGGAAGCCAGTGGAGGGATTGGCAGAGAGGGCGGGAGATGGAAGCCAGTGGAGGGATTGGCAGAGAGGGCGGGAGATGGAAGCCAGTGGAGGGATTGGCAGAGAGGGCGGGAGATGGAAGCCAGTGGAGGGATTGGCAGAGAGGGCGGGAGATGGAAGCCAGTGGAGGGATTGGCAGAGAGGGCGGGAGATGGAAGCCAGTGGAGGGATTGGCAGAGAGGGCGGGAGATGGAAGCCAGTGGAGGGATTGGCAGAGAGGGCGGGAGATGGAAGCCAGTGGAGGGATTGGCAGAGAGGGCGGGAGATGGAAGCCAGTGGAGGGATTGGCAGAGAGGGCGGGAGATGGAAGCCAGTGGAGGGATTGGCAGAGAGGGCGGGAGATGGAAGCCAGTGGAGGGATTGGCAGAGAGGGCGGGAGATGGAAGCCAGTGGAGGGATTGGCAGAGAGGGCGGGAGATGGAAGCCAGTGGAGGGATTGGCAGAGAGGGCGGGAGATGGAAGCCAGTGGAGGGATTGGCAGAGAGGGCGGGAGATGGAAGCCAGTGGAGGGATTGGCAGAGAGGGCGGGAGATGGAAGCCAGTGGAGGGATTGGCAGAGAGGGCGGGAGATGGAAGCCAGTGGAGGGATTGGCAGAGAGGGCGGGAGATGGAAGCCAGTGGAGGGATTGGCAGAGAGGGCGGGAGATGGAAGCCAGTGGAGGGATTGGCAGAGAGGGCGGGAGATGGAAGCCAGTGGAGGGATTGGCAGAGAGGGCGGGAGATGGAAGCCAGTGGAGGGATTGGCAGAGAGGGCGGGAGATGGAAGCCAGTGGAGGGATTGGCAGAGAGGGCGGGAGATGGAAGCCAGTGGAGGGATTGGCAGAGAGGGCGGGAGATGGAAGCCAGTGGAGGGATTGGCAGAGAGGGCGGGAGATGGAAGCCAGTGGAGGGATTGGCAGAGAGGGCGGGAGATGGAAGCCAGTGGAAAGATTAGCAGAGGGGGCGGGAGATGGAAGCCAGTGCAGGGATTGGCAGATGTGGGCGGGAGATGGAAGCCAGTGCAGGGATCCGCAGAGGGGGGCGGGAGATGGAACACCTCTGGGTTTTGTTGTAATGGGAAAACACAGTCTTGGCAAACACACCGTCCATAGGGATGAATGGGATCCCTTGGAAAATACTTGTGAAATTAAATGTATTTCAGGTGCATTGCATGAAAAATGAATAACTGTGAAAACCTGCAGAGATGAAGAAGAGAGAGCAGGGAGAACTTTATTTTTTCAAGCTAGGAAACCCATTTGGACTGGGCCACCAAAGCCAGTGACAACAGAGGTTACTAATGTGAAATATTTGTTTCTGGCAGGTCAGGGAGTGGACCAGACAGAGCACAGCATGGAGATGAAGCTGAGGAACCTGAGTCTAGGGATGCACTCCAGAGTAGAGGGACTGCACAAGCATGGTAAGATGGACCTCCAAGTGGTGGTCAGGGTGACACTACGTAATATTGGTCTGATCTACTCACCAAATGAATGTTTTCTTCCCCCAGATTGCTTGATGATGGAGAAACTGAAAGCCATGGAAGCCTTTGTGAAGGACCTCATAAGTAAGTTGGTGCGGGGTGTTGTAAAGTGGAGTTATGTACAGACCATGGAGCTCTGATCTGTCAAGCATCCAGGATAATTAGAGTCAATCTGGAGGCAGTATATTTTTAAGAGATTTTTGGTGTTTCTTTTCCTACAGAATTTGAATTGATGAGTAAAGTGGAGAAAATTGAGACTTCAATTAAGCGGATTTTATCCAGTGAAGTAACAGGTAGTTGCAAAGTCCAATAAAGAATGAGAAACTGATATCCCCTTTTATCTCATCTAAAAAAATAAATCAAATCTCCCTCCACCCAGAGGCGTACCTAGTGACCTCAGGGCCACGATGCAAGAATCCATGAAGGGCCCATACAACCCCGCCCCCCACCACCACCACCAAGAAGAAAAAAAATTAGAAAACAAATTTTAGACAAGACAAAGAAAAAAAAAAACACTCTCCTCTTCCATGTCCCCAGCTTCCACTCATCTCCC